TAAACCAAAGCAGCACAAACGAAAATTTTAACGGCACAAACCAGCACTAACGGAGCACTAACCATTCAGACTATTTGCTTTAATTTTGGAAGTGGGTGGGGTGTCAGCTTCACTCAGCTCCCCAGCCTGCCAATTCAGTGGCACTGCACGTAATGTCCATGTGATGTTGCAAAGGTGTGTCAACAAAGATAGCCCCCCAACATCCAGACCCTTAAGGAAATCAGGGCAAATCCCATCCACCTTCGAAGCACTGCCACCACAGAGCTTTTTAACTACCTTGGTGACCTCTGCCACGGTTATGGACAGACCAACCCCAAAGTCCCCCGACTCAGCTTCGTCCCTGGAAAACATGCCAGTGGGATTGAGAAGGTCCAATAAGTATTCCTTTTACCTCCTGATGCCATCACTGATTGAGGTCAACATCACCCCACTTTCACTGAGTACAGTGTTAGTAAAGTGCTGCTTTCCAATCCTCAGCCACCTGATGATTTGCCATAATATCCTCAAATTAACTCCTCCTTGAAACTCCACTTTCTCATGGTGGAGGAGTTTATGCGCCTGAATGATTCTAGGGTCTCCCAAGGCATAATGATTTTAGGTGACAAGCCAGACAAAGACCAATTCCCAAAACTTATATGGATAAACAAGGAGCTCTGTGTCCCTTGTCCAGATGTGGGTTACCGGGGCCCCAACCCTGGAACCAGACTTGGGGGAGAGGGTTGCTGGCGAGTGCCTGGTGTCTAGATCTCTACCCATGGGACCCAGTCGGGCTAAGCCCAATAGTGTAACATGGGTTTGCTTTCCTGTGTGGCCCACCACCTGCTGGAGGTCCCATACAAGTCGGGTGCATGATACCATGGGCAGTGGCTGAAGGTGGGAGGACTTGGCACTCTAACCATGGCTTACCAAAGCTGGCTATATAACTTTATTCACTCTTTATTCAATCAATTTTTTATTTATTTATCTATTTATTTATTTTTATTTATTTATTTTTGGAGGGGTGGGGTGAAAATCCTGTAAATATTTACAGCTTAAAAAATTAAAAGAAGTTAGAATTATTTTGTTGTTGTTTGTGTTTGTTTTCTTGACTGTAAGTCTGTGATGTTTGTATTTATTCACATTATCAATACCGATAGTCCCACATTTATAGTGGGGGATTCGTACCCTGAAGCCCCGTGATAAGTGAAAAACCATGAAGTAGTGCATTACACTACTACAGTAGTAGTAGTAAATAGTAGTACAAGTAGTAAGTAGTAGTTTATTTTAGTATATATATATATATATATATATATATGTATATATATATATATATATA